GAGCCATTTGCTTTTCCCTTGGACTAAGTAATAAGTAACACCTAGATTTTTTTTTTTTCTTTCAGCCAGCCTAAGTGAGAAGAACCTTTGTGTCTTATTTTAAAGTTGTGTAATATCATTAAAGTAGATTTTATCTCATATTTGGCCAGAGAATTACTCCTTATCTAGTCCCTTGCAGTTCTATACATAGTATATCAGCAAAACCTGAATTTTCAAGTTTGCCTTTCAATTTAGTTTTTATTGGAAGAAGTTGTGGTTCTTGGTATTAAGAATATCTAATCACTTTCTTAGTGGAATTATGTTTGTGTGTGTGTGTGTGTGTGTGTGTGTGTATAGCTTTTATTTCCATTTTAAGCATGGTGAGTGCTTATTTGTTCCCTTACCATTTCTGATTAACACTGGCAGTGTTGTATTTCATCAAGTTGTTGAAATACTTCCTCTTTCAGTTTGAAAGTTCTATTTCCTAGAACTTTTGAAGGATCCTTTTAATAATGTATCGACATGGGGCACCTGCGTGGCTGGGTGGTTGAACGTCTGCCTTTGGCTCAGGTTGTGATCACGGGGTCCTGGGGGATCTTTAAAAAAATCTTAAAAAAAATGTATTGACTTACATATGCAGATCATATTTGGGGAGAATATTACTTATCAGCAATAAGGTTGCTGATTTCAGGTTGTCCGTTATTTTAGGCAGCCTAACAACAAGACACTCCCAATTAGCATATTTTGATGTGCCTAAATCATAGATGGGGTATAACAAAGTTTGAAAAAGTGTCTACACCCCACTACCCCACTAGCAACAAGCATATCTACTGCCCGGATCTGGGTGTTTTGTTTTTCTTTTCTTTTTTTTTTTTTTAAGATTTTATTTATTTATTCAATGAGAGACACAGAGAGAGGCAGAGACATAGGCAAAGGGAGAAGCAGACTCCCTGGGGGGACCCTAATGCAGAACTCAATCCCCAGACCCTAAGATCACAATCTGAGCCAAAGGCAGATGGTCAACCGCTACACCACCCAGGTATCCCCAGATCTGGGCTTTTAATTCCATTCTCCAGTGAAAAGAGCTGTGAACTCCTTGGAGAAATGGATGTTAGAGGGTTTGGAGCAGGGAACCTACAGGACGAACCCAGAAAATCTAGTAATGCTGCAAAGGAAGGAGGTGCTCAAAAAACAGCAAGATGAAGGTATGTGAAAGAGACACAGGAGCCCACCGAAAGTGCTCCCAAAAGCCAAAGCTGAAACAATCTGAGCAGCGAAAGAAAAAATGTGTTAGGTTATAACCCAAACATAAAATAAATATCCATGAATTTATACTAATATAAATAAATGACCGAGTAAATAAACAAGGGAGGAGAAAGCGATCTCTCCTATGAAAGAATTCCAAATAATTTATGTAGCTGCTCTGCTCTCAAGGAAGTGGAAATAACTCTTTACTCTTTAAATGTGGGAGGACATAGTGTCTTCCTTCCAAAGAATAAGTGTGGAAAAGGGGGGAAAAAAAAGAGCAACGTTACAGTGGAGAAACTTGACGAACGTGGCCTCAGCCAGGCCATCAGGGTCCGCGTTGACAGTGGTGAGCCGTATCTTACCCTCCATACAACGAAAATGGCACTTCACATCTGTAGACTTATCCCAAAAAACCCATAACCCTAGTCTAACCACGTGGAAAACATCAGACAGATCCCAGTTAAGGGATAGTCTGTCTGCAGAATATCTGATCAGTACACCCCCAATGGGACAAGCTCTTCAAAAACAACGAAAATTGAGGAACTGCCGCAGCCAAGAGGCACCTCAGGAGACCTGACAGTTAAATACTAAACTGGCATCCTATGTGGGATCCTGGAACAAAAAAGAGACATTAGGTAAAACTTCAGGAAATCCAGACAAGTTGGAACCTGAGTTAATAATAATGTGTCAGTATCAGATTATTAGTTGTGACAAATGTGTTATACTAACATAAGATGTTAATAATAGGGGATTCTGAGTGTGGCCATCCTGGAACTCTCTGTATTACTTTTGCCACTTTTCTGTAAACCTTAAAGTATTCTAAAATTAAAAGTTTATTTTTAAAGAAAGCCACAGAAGTAGAGATCTCACCAAGTCATAGTAGATAAAGGGAGCAGAGAAAAGCCCTCCTGTCTGATCCTGATGCAGCTGCGATATTTAGAAGTCAAATACAGGAGGAAAACCTGGCGAACAAGATTGGGAGTGGCTCTCAGGGGAGTGGAAGGAAAATTGGAATATGATCTCATACAAAGCCTTTCACCAAGAAGAGGGTGGTCAGCTTTGTCACACGGGCTCCAGGGTCAAGTACAGTGAAGAGTGGAGAATGGTGGTTGCAGCTGGCAGCATGGAAACACCGCTGACTTTGCAAGAGCAGTCTTGATGGAGTGATGGGGACGGAAACAGATAAGGGAGATTTCAAGAGGAAATTGTGTCTATATTTGACTTTTTTGCGAAGACAGTGGTCTTACGTGTAACTTATCATATCATAAAATCATAATCTAAAATAATCTTAAAAGGAAGCAAAGGTATCTGCCTTTAGTTTGGTTCTACATTTTTTTTTTCATTAGCAAAAAGATACTAAAGAAAATTTGGGGACAGTCAGAAGGGGATAGGCAGAAATAAAGTCATCCTGAATCTTTCTATCCAGAAGTGGTGTTAAAATGTTAGTGTTTTCAGGGGCACCTTGGTGGCTGAATGGTTGAGCTTCTTTGGCTCAGTTCATGATCCCAGGGTCCTGTGATTGAGTCCTGTATCAGACTCCACAGGGAGCCTGCTTCTCCCTCTGCCTATGTCTCTGCCTCTCTCTGTGTCTCTCATGAATAAAATCTTAATAATAAAAAAAAGGTTACTGTTTTCTGAGGTCTCCCCCCCACCCCAGTGTTCCTTTAGATAGTTGGGTTCATACAGATGATACACATTTGTACTTCATTTTGCCTTGAGCTTGTGGACGGCGAAATAAGTCTCATTTTTATTGTAGTTATTAATACAGTAACTATATGAGAGCAAGAGAAATTTATTGTAGCAATAGCTTTGAAAAGCCATAGTATTTGATTTATTAATAGACTGGTGTTTGGGGTTTGGCATTTTCAACCTAGGTATTTTTGGATTCTCATCCTGTATTGTATTTGTGCGCCAGAAGGTCTGGTGCATGATGATAACTTAAGGGAAAACAAAAAGCACTAAGACAGAGTCTGTGGCCTCTTAAGAGCTCATCATCAACAACAAGGCTGGGGAAGTGTAGGAGAGAAATACAAGAAGCAAAACTCTTTACAAGAAACTTTTTTAAAATTTATTCCTGAGAGACACAGGGAGTAGCAGGCTTCATGCAGGGAGCCCAATGTGGGACTCGATCCTGGGACTCTAGGATCACCCTGGGCCAAAGGGAGGCACTCAACTGCTGAGCCACCGAGGCGTCCCATCTTTACAAGAAACTTTACAAGGCCAAGCATAATGAATTTTATGCAGAAGGTGAAGTAGCTGAACTGTTGGACATCCACTCCTTGGAGGGTTATATGCTGTACGATTTCATTTATAGGACTCTCTCAAAGTGACAATATTACAGTGAGAGAATAGATCAGTCATTGCTGGGGCATAGGATGAGTGGAAAGGTGTGATTAGTGAAAGGACTGACACAAGGGAGTTTCTTTGTGGTGACAGACCAGTTGTGATGACTGTTAACTTGAGTCTATACATGTGCTAAAATGACTTTGAGCTGTATACACATGTGGACACAGGAAGAGTGCAGTGTAGTAAACCCTGATGAAGTCCAATGCAAGTCTGGGTCTTCGTCACTAGGAGGCGACCTGTGTCAGTTCCTGGGGTTGACACTGTGCTGTGCTTATGGAAAAGCTTGTTGGTGGAGGCTGCCTGCAGCGTCCAGTAGAACTCTGTCATGTGTTTGCAGCTTCATGTGAGTGGTAAACGGTTTCAGAATAAAAGGTTATAATTGTAAAAAATCGAAATAGTTTTAAGAAGACATTCGAAGAAGAGAGAGCTATGCATAGAGCACTTTTGAGATTGGCCTTAAAGGAACTTCATGAGCTGAAGCTTAATGAGGCCATCGGTGGCCAGGCACTCTCCCAGCACTTTGTGACAGTTACTCATTTCATCCCCACAGCAACCTTGTGAGGCCACTACAGTAATCTCATTTTACAGTTGACGGATCTGAAGTCCCCTGTCACTCAGTGCCAAGTGGCAGAACTAGAGTTGGAGCTAATGCGGCATTCAGCTCTAGGGGCTAGTCTGTCTGCCTTCAAAGGCTGGTCGAGGGTCCTCATGGCCAGGGAAGAAGGTAGAGAGAAGCCCAGGACATGCTGGGAACTGAGCAGTGGGGGTCAGAGTGAGAGTGATAAGGTCACTGTGGTTTGTACACTGGCTGCCCTGGGGCCCTGCTTCCATAGGTTCTGATTTCATCTGGTTTGGGCCTGAGTGAGGGCTTTGATACTCTATTGAGAATTGCTGACCCACAATATTAAGAGATGGCTTGGAGCCAAGGGCAGAGGCCTTTATAAGAGTCTTTGGATAAGGATCCACTTTCATAGCCTTCTCTTAAATTTCATCACTTTCATAAGAAACAGAATTAGGGCTGTATTCCTCAGAACTATTTAAATAAAACCTCTTCTTTCCTCCTCCAGCTGAACGAAGTCCTTGTGGTAAAAATAAACATGGCCACTTAGTTTCCAAAGACTTTACTCCAGACCTCCATTTTGTAAATGTGAACCCCAGATCCACAATTGGAATGGAAACGTGCCAAATAGAAAGCATTAATTGACAGTCAAATCAAGAAATAAAATAAACCCTTGACTTTTGATGTTGAGGACACAAATTCTGGGACAAGACAACTAAAGGTAGGCTTGGAGGCTGCAAGTCTCAGCCATGGAAGCCAAAAGAAAATAAGAGCTTCTTATTTTTATTGTATTCAGAAAAGAGTTCAAGTGGAGTTCATGTTGCTTGGCATCTAATAGCTGGTCTTAGATTCAAAGTGGTTGAAAATTGCACTCATTTCAGCAGAACATACACTAAAATTGGAATAATCCCAAGATTAGCATGGCCCCTGCACAAGGATGACGTGCAAATTCATGAAGCATTCCATATTTTTTTAACGAAAGCAAATTTGAAAAAGGAAAGCAAAGCTGGTGGTACCAAATTCTAGACTCAAGTTACAAAGATGTAGTAATCAAAACAATATGGTACTGGCACAGAAATAGACTCATTGATCAATGGAACAGATGAGAAAACCTAGAAGTAAATCCACAATGGTCAATTAATCTTCAACAAAGCAGGAAAGAATATCCAATGGGAAAAAGACAGTCTCTTCAACAGATGGTGCTGGGAAAACAGGACAGCAACATGAAAAAGAATGCAACTAGACCGCTTTCTTACACTGTACACAAAAATAAATTCAAAATGGATTAAAGACCTAAAAGTGAAACCTGATACCATAAAAATTGTAGATGAGAGCACAGATACTATCTCTGACATAGGCCATAGCAACTTCTTTCTAGATAGATGTCCTGAGGCAAGGGAAACAAAAGCAAAAATAAACTTTTGGGACTTCATCAAAATAAGTTTCTACACAGTGAACAACAGAGTTGAGAGGCAAACCTCTGGAATAGGGGAGGATATTAGTAAATGACATATCTGATAAAGGTGTAGTATCCAAAATACATATATAAAAAACAAGTAATCCAATTAAAAAACGGGCAAAAGACATGAACAGATGTTTCTCCAAAGAAGACATACAAATTGCCAACAGACACGTGAAAAGATGCTCAACATTACTCATCATCAGGGATAAAAATCAATTGCAAATCAAAACTACAATGAGGTATCACCTCACATCTGTCGGAAAGGCTAAAATCAATAACATAAGAAACAACAGGGGTTCGGGAAGGATGCAGACAAAAGGAACTCTTTTGCACTATTGGTGGGCATGTAAACTGCTGTACCCACTGTGGAAAGCAATATGGAAGTTACTCAAGAAGTTAAAAGTAGAACTACCCTAAGATCCAGTAATCATACTACTAGGTATTTACAAAAAAAAAACAAACAAAAACAACAAACAAAACACTAATTCAAAGTGATACATGCACTCCTATGTGCAGCCTTATTTACAATAGCCAACATAGGGAAGCAGCCCAAGTGTCCATTGACTGATGAATGCATAAAGCAGATGGGGATAGATAGATAGATAGATAGATAGATATAATAGAATATTATTCAGCCATAAAAAATGAAATCTTGCCATCTGCAATGACATAGATGGAGCTAGAGAATATAGTACTAAGGGAAATAAGTCAGGGAAAGACAAATACTAAGTGATTTCATTCATGTGGAATTTAAAAAACCAAACAGATGAGCAAAGGAAATAAGGAGAGAGAAGAAACAGAAAGACTTAACTACAGAGAATGAACTGATGGTTACCAGAGGGGAGGTGTGATGAGGAGGATGGAGGAAATAGGTACGTGATGGGATTGAGGAGGGCACTTGCTGTGATGAGCATGGGGTATTGTGTATAAGGGGTATTGTGTATAAGCGTTGAATCGGTTACATCTGAAACTAATATAACACTGTATGTTAACTGTGTGGTAATTAAAACCACAACAATAAAACCAGAGTGATTGAAAATACATAGTTCTATCCAAACTCCTCAACTTGCTCCTGTGTTTCCATTTTCATTCCATTCATTCACATAGAACCTCTCTGTGATAGATGCCCTGGTAGATGCTGGGAACTCAAAGATATAAAGATCACTGTATTTATTCAGTGATAAATAAGCATCGCTCCATACCACTGGACCAGCAGCATGTAACTTGCAAAGACCAGGGCAGCTTAGCTTGAACATTTTGGACTGTTTGAAAAATATAACTATTTGAAGCCCAACCCAGACCTATCTAATAGAAAGGAAAGTCTGGGCTTGAGTATTTTAAAAACACTTTGGAAGTGATTCTTTGGTCCTAGATGAAGACCGTGTAGATCATTACAGTGGGCTTGGGGTTGTTTCTTCCTTAAATACCAGTTTCTTTTTGGAAACAGTGGCATATATAGGGCTTCTGTTTTCTTCGTTGAGTAACCAGAAGTTGCAAAATTATCAGTAGTGATTTTTGTTTGCCTTTATGACAAGTATACATACACACACAATACACACAGTGGTTTTGTCTCATTATTATTAGTGTCTCTTTTGACACTTGTCTTGCATCTGATGTTGATCCCTTTGCTCTAATTTTTTCTACATGACTCTTATTTCTTCTCATGTCTTTTTACTACTCTGTATCTCAGTTGGACTCCTGGAAAGGTCTGATTTTGTTTTGTTTTGTTTTTTAATAGGGGGAAAGCTCCTCTTTTTAAATATTATATATTTATTCATGAGAGACACAGAGCATGAGAAAGAGAGGCAGAGAAACAGGGAGAGGGAGAAGCAGGCTCCCCATAGGGAGCCTGATGTGGGACTCAATCCTGGGTCTCCAGGATCACAACCCAGGCTTGAAGGCGGCGCTAAACCACTGAGCCACCCGGGCTGCCCTGATTTTGTTTTTTTAATTGGGATAAGAACATTTGACATAAGCTCTACCCTCTTAACAAAACGTTAACTCCAACTAGAGGCACAATGTTGTACAGAAGATCTCTAGAAACTACTCTTGTATAATTGAAACTTTATGCCTGTCAAACAGTAATTCTCCCCATTTCTTCCTACCCCTAACTCTTAGCAACTACCACTGCATTCTCTGTTCCTATGAGTTGACTTATATGTCTCCTAATTGTATCATGCAGTATTTGCCCTTCTGTGACTGGCTTAGATCAGCATGATGTCCTCTATGTTCTCCTTAAAAATAATTTTTAATGGCTGAATAATATTCCCTTGTGTGTATATACCATGTTTTCTTTACTACTTTGTTGATGGACATTCAGGTGGAGTTTGTGTGCATAGTTTCAGAGGTAGAATTTAGTGATTCATCAGTTGCATGCAACACCCAGTGCTTATTACTTCAAGTGCTCTTCTTAATGCCCATCACCCAGTTACCCAATCCCCCCTCTCTTCCCTCCAGCAACCCCCAGTTTCCCATAGTTAAAGTAAGAGTCTCTTATGGTTTGTCTCCTTCTGTTTTCATCTTATTTTATTTTTCCTTCCCTTCCCCTATATTCACCTGCTTTGTTTCTTAAATTTCACATGAGTGAAATCATATGGTATTTGTCTTTCTCTGACAGACTTATTTCGCTTAGCATAATACCCTCTAGTTCCATCCATGTCATTGCAAATGGCAAGATTTCATTCTTTTTGATGGCTGAGTAGTATTTCATTGTGTATATAGATATACATATCTTCTTTCTCTACTTATCTGTTCATGGGCATCTGGGCTCTTTCCACAGATTGGCTATTAAAGACATTGCTGCTATAAATATGGTGGTGCAGTTGCCCCTTTGGATCATTATGTTTGTATCCCTTGGATAAATACCTGCTAGTGCAATTGCTGGGTCATAGGGTAGCTCTATTTTTAATTTTTTGAGGAACCTCCACACTGTTTTCCAGAGTAGCTGTACCAGTTTGTAATTCCTGCTAACAGTGTAAGAGGGTTCCCCTTTCTCTCCATCCTCACCAACATCTGTTGTTTCCTGAGTTAATTTTAGCCATTCTGACTGATGTAAGGTGGTATCTCATTGTAGTTTTGATTTGTATTTCCTGATGCCCAGTGATGCGAAGCATTTTTTCATGTATCTGTTGGCCATTTGTATGCCTTCTTTTGAGAAATGTCTGTTCATGTCTTCTGCCCATTTCTTGATTGGATTATTTTGTTTTTTGGGTGTTGAGTTTGATTTAGGTGATTTATACATCTTGACTCTTGTGGATAATGTTGCATGATGTTGAGCATCTTTTCATATGCCTGTTGCCTATTTCTATGTCTTTGGAGAGATGTCTGTTCAAGTCCTTTGCCCATTTTTTAATTGGGTTGTTACTGAACTGTAGGAGTTCCTTATATATTTTGAATACTAATCCCTTATCTGATACATGGTTTTTAAATATTTCCTCATATTCCATAGTTTGCTTTTCTGTTGATTATTTCCTTTGCTGTGGAAGCTTTTGAGTTTGATATAGTCCCACTTGTCTATTTTCTGCTTTTGTGGTTGTGCTTTTGGTGTCACATCTGAGACATCTATTGCTAAGATCAATATCATGAAACTTTCCCTCTATGTTTTCTTCTAAGAGTGTATAGTTGTAGGTCTTATGTCGGAGTCCTTTAATCCAATCATTTTGAATTGATTTTTGTGAATGGTATAAGGTAAGGGTCCAGCTGCATTCCTTTGCATGTGGATATCCAGTTTTCTCAGTACCATTTGTTGAAGAGGCTACCCTTTCCCCATTATGTATTCTTGGCACCTTTCGATTGTTTATGTGCGGACCTATTTCTGGGCTCTCTGTTCTATTCTAGGACTTGACTTTTATATCCCCTTTTACCCAGCAGGCCATTTGATGAGCCCACCACACTTTTCATGTGTGTTCATTTTTTTTGGTGACTGAAAACTTTTGCATTTTAAATTCTTCTCGGTGGTTGAAGACACTAGATATTGGAATCTGAAATAATACTTGTTGTTATATTTCAGGTCTATCATATGCAAGTCACACAGTTGGCTTCACGCCACCGACTTCACTGACAAGAGCCGGAATGTCTTATTACAATTCCCCGGGTCTTCATGTGCAGCATATGGGAGCCTCCCATGGTATCACAGTGAGTATCCACGGGGGAGGAAGCCACACTGATTCCTGATGGTGGTAGCAACGGCTTCTTTTTAGGAGAACAGGGGTGATGCTGTTATAGACATTTACTTTTTTTCTCCCTCCCACCATCAGTTCACCTTCAATCTATAGAGACTTCCCAGCAGTTTGATACCAAATTCTGGTGTTGAAACTAAAATCCTTCCCAGGAGACAAAACTTCAGCTTCACTTTCTGTGAAAAATTATCCTTTGTGAAATGTAATTTGAACTCTGGCCAAGGCCGTAATTAAACTCTGGCCAGTTCTTTGCTATAACGAGTCATTGCTGGTTGCTACAATGTCTAAAATATTTATTGTTGGCATCTTCACAGTTCACTGATCTTCAGTAT